TTTTTTTTTTTTTTTTTTTTTTTTTGAGACAGGGCCTCAAGGTATCCCCTTGGGTAGAGCGCTGTGGCATCACAGCTCACAACAACCTCCAAGTCCTGGGCTCAAGTGAGTCTCCTGCCTCAGTCTCCCAAGTAGCTGGGACCACAGGCGCTGGTCACAGTGCCTGCCTGCCATTTTTTTTTTTTTTGGTTGCAGCATTGTTGTTTGGTGGGCCCGGGCTGGGGATTCGAACCCGCCACCTTAGGGTTCGCCCTAGCCGCTTGAGCCACAGGCTCCGAGCCAAGCTTCAGGTGTTTTAAACAACATTCTGGACCACAGGGAGGTAAGAAATTCCCCAGACCACAGCGTGGCCCACTTTGTGCTCTGACTGTGGCCACTACCACTTCCTCCTTCTCTGGTGGGCTGACCTACCTAGGAGGAGCACCAACCTAGCTGGGGTCACTGGTCCCTAAAAGCAGACTTCCTGTGTGGGGGGATGTGCTTGTGGGAGGGTGGCGAGGGGACAAAGTGGAGGAAGATGGTGCAGGATCTTGTGGCCTTTTCAGCTGTGCAGCTGGCTCCTGTTCCACTCCACACACCCGCACTGGCGCCACCCTCCTTCCCACTGCATTTTCCTAATTAATTTGGTTGTCCTAGCAGGAACATGGGGTTATCAACGTAGCAGAAACAGCATTCAACGCATAAAAGGAGATGGTGTTTCAGAGTAAAGAGGCAGCTTGATTTGAATAATAGTTCTTGAGCTTTCACTAACCCTCTCGTTGTAGAGGCCTTTGGGATTTTTTTGAAACATAAAAATAATTTATTTCCTAACCTAAAGTTCCAAGCCTGTGGAGCCAGAATTATTTTTTTTTTATTGGCGATATATGAAAGTCATAGACTAAGTGAAAAAGTTCTCAAACTTAGAGTTGCTAGGGGGACAGTTTAAGTGTGTCTGAATTTATCATTTGGGCAGTTTCACAAAATAAATGTGTGTTTTCAGTTTTCGGGGTAGATTTTGACTATGACATCAGTGTTTTTTCAACTCTGCCTCTGCAATAACCGCGATATTATACATGTAGGTGTCCACTGCCCTGTGTCCTAAATAGGAAATGCCTCAATAACCTATGGTGATTTCATTAAAATGCTATCATTCAAAATGCTGGTTAGCAAAACTAGACATTAAAAATGGCAACTTTCATCCCTGAAGAAAAGGCAGGATACATTTTGGTTACAAGTATTTTAAACTAAGAGCCAGCTTATGGGAAAGAATAGAGTCTAAAGGGTGGGGCCCATAGCTCAAGGAGTAGGGGTGCCAGCCCCATATACAGGAGGTGGCGGGTTCAAACCCAGCCCTGCAAAAAAAAAAATAGAGTCTATAGAGCAGTGGTTCTCAACCTTCCTAATGTCACGGCCCTTTAATATAGTTCCTCAGGGTTGCAACTCACAGGCTGAGAATTGCTGTTATAGAAGAACACATTTTTTTAAACCACGTAGTGGTCATGATAGAATTATGAACAAATTATTCATTGTTTCCAAATTTACATTACTTTTACAATGAAACAATTATAAATAAGAGAAGTTCTGATGCTCTTACTTCTTTCAGTGACTTCGGTGCCATCTCGTTTGTTTTTCTTGGTTACATCCATACCATAGCCACCTGCAGGAAGAACCGGAAACCGTGAGGGCCACAGCTCCTACCACTGTTTTTAGTAAGCATAGGTCCCCACTGTGCAAGCTGAGAACCCCAGATTTGATTCCTTGGATTCAAAGCATAATCCTTTCATTGCATTTTTTGTTCTTTTAATTTTGGATTACTCTGTGAGTACATATGGTTAGGTTATATTTTTATGTTTGAAAGGTAAAGTCCAAGTTGTAGCTGAGTCCTTTCACTCAGCTCGTGTGCCATATACCCATTAGGTGGGTACTGACCTAACCCCCTCCCACCCCTTCTTGAATTTATTTGTGTTTTTATCTCCTGTAGGCATTTCGTTGTTAATCTACTAGTTTCAGCTTAGTATTGAGTACAAGATGTGGAAACAACCCAAGTGCCCATCAGCCCATGAAGGGATTAATAACCTATGGCATATGCCTACCATGGACGACTATTCAGTCACAACTTTTTTTTTTTTTACAAGAGTCATTCCCATTTTTTGTCATCAGGTATAGTAGGGATTAATTTAATGGTTCTAGTTTGATATTATCCCTTTGTGCTGGGGTCTTATTTCAGAATCTAATTGATCAGACTGCCCCCTGCTCGGCACCAGGGGGCTTGCACGGCAGATGGGCTGCCCTGACCTTTGTTTGACTATAAAACCTCCCTCTTTGCTGTGCTGATAAATAGCAGGAGGGAGTCTGTCAAGCTCTCTGTGCTACCATCTAATTCATTTTGAAGCAGCCCATAATGTTCAGTGCTCTGTCTGGAGCTCTATGCATATAAGACACTCATGCTTCATTATTTAGAGTCTGGATGTGAGGCTGGTACTTGATGGATTTAAACCGGGATGAAAAATCATTGTATTTGTCATACTTATATGGAACTTCATACTTCAAGGTATGGAATTTTTTGTCATCATAACCAGCTCTCATATGCTTATCTGCAGACATCAGGGGGTAAAATAGATGATGAAAATCTGCAAAAATTGCAGAGCTGTGTAGGAGTAGACATACTTATTTGCATTTTCTGTTTTCCCTTCACATTATGCTGCTCCTGAAAAGGAAATTCATTGCAATCTTGTTTGCTGTGTCCCTAAGTGTAGATGGTGTAGGGCAGGGCTGACATCAGTAGTGGGGTTGTGAGGACTCAGCCTTAAACACACAGGACAGCACCATGAGTATCCCGCCCTGCCTGAGCTCTTCTTGCTGCAATGCCTGGTCCCAGGTTCCAGAAGGACTTGAAATCTGGCTTTCCCTGTGTTCCCTGCCCGCCCCCCCCCCCATCTCTGCCTCCTGGTTTATCCTTTGGTTGCAGTTCAAGCTGGATTCTAGATTTCCAAGGCACGCCACTTCTGCCCTGCTTGTGCTGCCTGGAAACTTCAGGGTTGATTTATTCACCAGGCACAATGGGTCCTATGCCTAGGCCCATAGCACTTTTGGAGGTCCATAAAAATATTTTAATTCTTTTAACATCAGAAGGAAAAACAAACATAATCTAACCTGGATTACATTCTTCTTTATACCAATAGAGTTGTAAAATATAATATTAAAAAGTTTTTTTATGAGGAAGGGGCCCACAAAGGCAAAACTGTCTAGAGCTCACGAAAGTCCTAATGCAGCTCTGGGTTACTTCCCTCCTAAAAACCAAGACCACATGAGACCAGACAGCTGATCAACTGCCTGGTGTTAGCTTCAGGGCCTGGTCAAATGTGCCAACTTCTTGCTCATCGATGTTTCTTAAACACAGCTCTAGGCAAGGAATGAGGCATCACGGAAAAATCCTAGCTGGATCTGAGAGGCCATAGACAATCTTTATGTATATGTTTCCTGGAACCCAGAGGAGGGGTTTCATAAACAGTTCAATGGGGAAGGCTAGCCCGTTAGAAGGCCAAAGCTGGCCTGGGCCTCTGTCCGCATTCCAGCTATAACTCGCATGCCTTGTATCAAGCAAACCAACATGCAGCTGATCCGCTCCTTTATTTAAGCGTTAATCACCTTTGGTAACTTGGAAGCCCGTTTACACTTTGTTTTGATCATTAGCTGTGAACCAGGAGGCATTTGGGGAAATTAAACATTTAAATGTACCTACTGCTGGTGGGGAGGTGACTAACTCTCCAGGATGGTACCTGAATCCATATTAAATATTGTCTCGAAAGGAACTGTTTATAACAATCCACAGGCTCTTACTTCCTACAAATTATTGCATATTTTGATCCATCAGTGAAAGTTGCTGCCAGTGGCTGTACACTCCGGATTGGCTGTAGCGCTTGCCACATTTAGGCAGACGTTAGCTTGGTTTGCTGAATTCAGTCTCCAGGCAGCAAACCTGGCACATTTTGCCTGTTCTTTCTGTATCCAGAACAATAACAGGCATTTCTAGCCATAGCTCTCCATCTTTTCGCTAAGTCCTAATAACAAAAGCTTGATTTCTGCAGCAAAAATCCAAAGGTTCCCCAACTTCCAGAGGGCAGGAAATGAAGGCCTACTGAGACATCTGAAGGGGTCCCTCACTGGAAGTGCCCAGTGCAAAGACCCTGCCCTGTCCCTAGGTAGGGACAGGTAGGTCTTCTCTCTTAGCCTGCAGCCACTCAAATGACACAGAGCCAGACCGACAGCCTGAGGCGTCAAGGATGTGTCGGGAGGTGGATTCCTTTAAACCTAATGTAAGAGGAAGCTTTCTATAAGTGAGTTAATAAATGGAGAGTGATGGGCTGAGGCACAAACGTACACCAGGATCATCCATGAGACCTGCAGCATTCTTACAGGGCTTCTTTTTTAAACATTTTAAGTGCTGATAGTTTTAAAAAGTGTAGTGTTAGGGAAAGAAGAGTTTCCTGACCACGTACGTGCCCGAGCCTGCCTCCCTTACAGTAGCTGCCAGGGCACTCGTCTTCCAAACGCACAACTCAATGGAACCACCATCAAACAGCATAATATGTAACTTCTTGGATGTTTGGGCTACTTCACTAGAGCTAAGGATGAGCAGCATATTCAAGCTTTCAATCCCCAAATTATATGAATTTCCATCCGCAGATCTAAAGGGCTGCTTCGTGGTTATTCCATAGCTAATTTTCTTTGGAAGATGTAAAAATGATCTCCTGTCATTTTCGTATGCAAGAAGACACAGTTTAAAATCAATTCTCCACTTTTATGATTCTTTTTTCTTTTCTACTTCATTTAAGTGATGTCAGATCCACCTAAAACTAAGCAGATGGTGATGTGGTCTACCACACCCACAAATACGGACAAACCACTGTTAGTGACAACTCCTCATTTCATTGACTTTATCTTATTCTAATGACACAGGAAACACTTTGTTCTTGATAGAATGAAGAGAGGGAAGAAGATAAGTGTTTTTCTCCCTATTTTTAATTTTAGGAATAAATACTCCCATACTGTGTTAAGGAATTACAAGTATTTTCATAGCCTCTCTTACTCCAGTCTCTGTACATTTAAAAATTTGAAACAAAACCAATCCAAAACTGCCATCCACTGACCATTGACCTGATAACATAGAAGGGCTAAGAACACAGCCTGATGGCCAGGAAACAAGTGCCCTGGGGTGACTGTCAAAACTTCGCCTCCACAACACCCCAGAGATCAGTTTGCTGTTTGGAATATTCGGCACCCTTGATTTTCATGTATGGGAGGTGGTGGGCACCAGCTTTGCCGTTATGTGGGCTTGTTTACAGTTGTGTCCTGCTACAGTTAATAATGGCAAATAAAAGAAAATAAATGCAGACTTCTTTTGGTCAGTTATGATCTAAGAATGTGCTTAGTTCTTAAGTCTGATCGGTTTCACCAGTCTGGGGTGTTTCTGTGCAAGTCTGAAGCAGGACTGTTCCCTTTAATTGCCCCGTGGCAATGCTGATCAGGTTCACGTGGGTGTTTTGCAGGGCCTAAAAGTAAAGTAGCCCCTTCCAAATCTCTGAAAGTCACCATCAGGGTGATCTGTTTTAGGTTAATTGTGACTCAGGTCTCTGCCTTCGAGAACATATGGGGAGCTAAGAAGAAAAGAAACAATTCTGCTTTTCAAACAAATACCTTTTAAGAAATCTTACTATACTTCATAGTCATAACAAATCCAACTATTAGACAACTGATTAATCCTCTTAGAAGAAGTAATTTGCCAAAGGTTTTGCCTTCATTTCAAAAAGTAAAGTGATAATTTCTCAGTTAGCAGTTAACACGGTCCTGTTAGATCCCTAAAGTTGTAATTCTCACCTCAAAGTGATTTGGGGGGTGGGGGTGAGGTGGGCCCAAAGTTGGCCAATAAGAGTATATACCCAGAAAAAATTTCTTTTTCTTTCTTCCTTCAAATTTGACTCTAAGAAATTCCTGGATTAATTAGATCACTTCAAAGATTTCACTTTACTTTAAGGACAGGAGCAATTTTACAGCATGATAAACAATGATGTTTGCCCAGACCCTGAGTTTCAACCCAGAGGCCCGGGCATCCCAGGGGCTACCTCTAGAAGACACCTTGCCACACACACACTTCCCTACATGTAACTTCACCTCTCAGCTGTTCTATTCTGTCTAGTGGGGAGTGAGAGACAAAGGGAGGAGAAATTGCAGATGAGAGAGAAGGAATTTTAAGCCTTATCATATTCTAAATAAAACAACTTAATATAAGTCATTTTATAATACTAAAATACACATGAAAATCTTGCCGCCAGAGCCCAGTTATTCTATGTAACTGGTCTCCATCTCTTTCCCATGGGTCTTCCCTGTTTCTTTAAAAGACCCACTCTAGGCAGAACGCATACACCAAAGCCATCACTGATAGTGAATTCACCACTTCAGCTAGAATATACAAAGTTCTTTGGGGAACTTCATCTTCTTTTCTCCAATAAACATTTAATTTCTAAATGGCAAACCTTCAATCAAAGTCTCAGAAGAAGGGAGAAAGGTCAGTCTTCTTATTACTTACCTGGCTTGAGATTTTGCAGGAACTGGAAAGAACTCCCAATAAATCCCCCTTTCTGGTCCCCTGACGTTTTCTTCTAGAGTTTGCAGTGCCCACTTTTTTTTATCCAGCCCCAGCCAAGGTGTGTTAAAGCTGAGTGATCTTTCAAAAATGTTCACTTCTTCTCTCCACCTTGTTTCTTTCTGCTCTGTGCTTCCAAACAAGTCCTGACAAAGGTGTGTCGTGGTTTACAGCCTCACTCCACCCTTCCAATTATCTGACACTTGCTAGATTAAAAAAAAAAAAAAATCTGCCTCCAGGAATCAAACTTTACAAGAAGGCAGAAAGCTTCTCCTACCAGCTTAGGGAGCTTAACCATTTATAGACCCAGGAGAAAAGGGAACAAAGGGCCAGCAGAAAGGAAAGTTCCTTTTATTACCTCTACCTCCTACAGCTGGAGAGCTGCCACAGCTTGGTATTCTCTTTTCTCGGGGCCATGGAATACTGGAATCTCAGTACGGTGACACACAGGGCACTGAGGCACACACGTGAGGGCCTGTGGTCTGAGTGTCTGAGTTCTAGAAAACCTGCAAGTTGAGTCCTCTTTCCCCATTCTGACTCAAGCCTGGTCAAGTCCATCTGGAGAAAAACAGTTGGTTAATTAATTCATAATGAGTTGTTAATGACTGAAAATGCTGAGCAATTGGTCGAGTTGGGGTTCATTCTAAAAAGGAGCTAACCCGATATAGTGATGTGGACCTTAAAAGAGTGACATGTCAGTGATGGGATTTTTGACGTTTCCCCACCTGATAATGGAGAGGGATGCTATTGGGGAGGGGGAAGGACCTCCTTGTTCTTCAAAGCAGGTGACCACATAAGTCACTACACACCTAAGGACATGTGTGAGATTCTAGATGCCCTGTAACTCCAAATATACCCCAGGGGACTTTAGGTTTCTCTAGAGGCTCAATTTGTACCAATTTAGATCGTTCTCATGAATACCTAGATGACAGCTGGTCTTCTAGGGCCCCCAAAGACCCTAGTCTTTGGGGGACTAGCTTCAGACTCTTGGTCTTGGTAAAACGGGAAATCTGAACCTGAGACTAGTTCAGTTGCTCTTTTGGGGCCCTTTCCCAGTTCTGAGACATTGTCCTAGGGAGGGAGCTGTGGGGTCCCTACAGCATAGCTCCAACGCCTGCCTGCACCCTGCTACTGTGGGCACTCGCACCCCATGGAGGGAGAGCAGACTGTTGAGAACCACCTGTGGGGTTCTGTCTCCTAAGCTGCCCCTATTCTGTGCCAGAATCACACACTTGAGAACCCTTTCAAATGAGCTAGCATTTGATATTCGTAGTCTCAGATGTTCTTGCTTTCCCCAAATAAATACTCACTCAGTGTGTATGTGGTCAATGTCATAGCAGAAGAACATTGAAAAACCAAGAAGACAGAGCTTTCAGCATAAAATTGACATATCCCTGCATCATTCATTCATTTATTCATGAATTCATGAATTAAACCGCAATATATTGGCTCCTGCTTGGAGCCAGAAACTCAACTATGTGCTGAGAGTTTAGTGGTGAAATACAGACACATTTCCCTGTCCTGAAGGAGAGCACAGTCTAGCGGAGAAAGACAGGATTTAGTGGATAGTTGGTATTATAGCAAAATACTACAGACTGGATGGCTTAAACAACAGAAATTTATTTTCACACACTTCTGGAGGCTGGATGTTCAAGATTAAGGTGACAACAGGTTTGATTTCTCCCGAGTCCCTTCTCCTTGGCTTGAAGATGGCTGGCTGTGCTGTCCTCATATGGCACATCCTTGATGTCTCTCTGTGGCCTAATCTCCTCCTAGAAGGACACTAGTCAGATTGAATTAAGGGTCACTCTAAAGGCCTCCTTTAACTTAACTCTTTAGAGCCCCTATCTCTCAATACAGTCACCCTTACTGGGTGTTTCGGCTTCCCCCTTTAAGATTTGAAGGGACACAATTTAGTCCAAAACAAAGTTTATATAATTAACAATGCAATAACTCCTATAAAGAATGAGTATTGGATACCATGAGAGAGCCTCAGAGGAGACGTAATCTTGGGGAGGGGTATTAAGGAAAATCCCGCTAAGTAACATTGAAGCTAATAGATGAAGGTTGAATGGAAATCACATGGGTGGTGGGAGGGGTCAAGAGCTTAGGATCCGGGGTCTGGACTGGGAAAGAGTCTTCAGAAGGTGGTGAGGGGGCAGCAGCATGGTGAGATGGAGGAAGAGAGAAGAGGCCCGTGTGTCGTGGGCATCAGTGAGGGGAAGTTGGGAGGCCAGCCTATGCAGGCCTCAGAGGCCATGGGGAGCTGTGCTGCACAGAACCTGGAAAATGCTCTTACATAGACATTTGAGAAGTAACTCTTTACTCTTGAGTATTAGGATTATTAATCTTAGGAAAGAAGAGCGACTGCAAGTGATGTGTTCTAAGGTCTATTACGCACCAGATCTCTTACATCCACTATCTCACGTAATCCCCTCAGCACCTCTAAGGGGTGTGTACCGTTATTATCTTCAATTTATAGCTGAGAAAAGTGACTTTCAAGAGGCTGAGCAACCAGGCCAAAGGTCTTCCATCCCATAGGCAGCAGAGCCTGTACTCCACTTGACTCTTGAAGCCTGCTTTCCCACTGCTTTGTGTGTTGTTAAAATGTTAAAAAAAAAAATAGGCAATATTACGTATGAAAACAGATAAGGCTGAGGATGAGTGACAAATAAAACCCAAAACCATCTGAGCAGTGGGGATGTTTTCAGTTGACAGCATTATAGTTTTTTTTGTTTGTTTGTTTATTTGTTTTGGGGTTTTTCTTTTGAGACAGTTTCACTATGTTGCCCTTGGTAGAGTGCCGTGCCGTCACAGCTCACAGCACAGCAACCTCAAACTCTTCGGCTTAAGCAATTCTCTTGCCTCAGCCTCCCAAGTAGCTGGGAC